TGACTACTGTGGCTGTATAGTAGGTTTTGAGATCCGGCAATGTGAGACCTCCTACTTTGTTTTTCTTCTTCAGTAGTGCTTTGCTTATCCGAGGTCTCTACTTACTAGACTTTTAACAATGTAAATCTGTAAACAGTAAAGAAATGTGGCACATATAAATCTTGTTTTTAGAAAGGTAAAGTTTTCAAAGTTTTAAACGTGATTTTTGTAGTATTGAGTTTACAGTGATGTCAAATATGTCCTAATGTAAAATAACATCTTTTTAGCCTTACCAATAACTCTCGGATTGTGGGACTCCTGGCTCAGCTGGAGAAGATCAATACTGAATCCACAGAAACAGATACTGCCAGATATGTTACATCAAAAATTCTTCATCTGGCTCAAAGTCAAGGTAAGTTTCAATAATTGCCTTATTTTTGGAATTCCTTATAAATTTTTAGAAATTTTTAGAAAGGTGATTTTAAGAATGTTCAAAGTTTGATGAAATGGATAATTTTCTGTAAAAGTAAACATTTTCAGATTGATTTAAGAAGTAAAATACTGAAAAATTTTGGAAAAAATTGTTCTTGAAAGCATTATTTAAAAAAATGATTACTCTCTTACTTGTGTGATTTCCCCCCAATTTTCAAACAACTAATATTCTATTTTCAGTACTGTAGTTCTAGGATGTTGTAAAGGTATCCTAAAATATTGGTTCTTGGTGTAGTCCCCATTTTGAAATTAAAGCTCTTCCATTAAGTGGCTGAGAGACTTTAGGGAGGTTATTGAATCTCTAGGTCTAAATAGCATTATCTCTGAAATAACGTTAATAACAGCTTTCATGGGATTTAAATGAGATGGCATGTAAAAACAGTATTAAAAATACTCAATAGATGTTATCTGTAATTAGGTATGATTTCTTGATTTTATGATTCCAGTAATACTAAATTGGTTACAAAATCTGGACAGTATAAAAGAAGAAAATGTTGATTTCTCACTTAGGAACATAAATGTGAAAATCCCAAATAAAACATGTGAATTAAATCTAATTGTACATTAAAAAATGAATTATCATTACTTAAGGACATGTATTTTAGGACTGCAAAATGTCTAATATCAGGAAATATCTGTATAACATTTGAACAGGTCAAATAAAATCTTTGTGATTATGTCAGTAGATACTGAAAAATAAACCAGCCCTTAAACTCTGTATTTCATAGTAAAACATTAAAGGTATTTGTGTTAAAATTAGGAGCCAAACAAATCAGTATTATTATTTTAATTTATTGTTATTATTTCATTATTTCAGAGATTTAAGTCATTGAAATAAGATATTTAACAAACATTTACTGTTTTTAGGAGCTCAGTGTCTCTTAACACTTCTTTGTCCTTGTAAACCAAACCAAATCCCTGGCTGTGGAGTCGATTTCCTGCTCATGGAGACCCTATAAGACAGAATAGAAGTGCCCCATAGGATTTCAAAGGCTGTAATCTTTATGGAAGCAGACTCTAGCGTATCTTTCTCCTGTTGAGTGGCTGGTGGGTTAGAACCACTGACCTTTCAGTTAATAGTCTAGCGCTTGACCACTATGCTACCAGGCCTCCTTTTGTACTCGTGGACCCTTAATTTACTTTGATGACTTCCTTGTATATAGTTCATGCATTGTGGATAGTATTCAGCACTCTAAAATGTGGGAGAGGTTTCTAATATATTGTATTTGTTCCTAGCAAAATGTAAAATACCATTACCTTTTAATTCAGAAAGTTATTATATTGGTGTCTTAGGTTCTTTAGAGAAATAGTAATAGTAAGATAGATGTATATACATAAATAGAGATTTATTTTGAGGAATTGGCTTATATGGTTATGGGAGCTGGAAAGTCCAAAATCTGTAGGTGGCAACAGGCTGGAAAGTCTGACAGTCTTGTGTCCCAAATTGGTAGGTCAGGCTGGGAGGGGTAGGGTGGAGGAATTCTGGCAGCTATTTATAATCTGGTGGTAGAATCATTCTCTCATGAGAAACTTCCAGTTTCAATTTAAGGCCTTCAACTGATTGAATGAGTACCACTCACATTTTAGAGGGCAATCTGCTTTACTTAAGGCCAACAGAGTTAAATGTTAATCACATATAAATACTTCATAGCAACATCTAGACTAGTGTTTGACCAAATAACTGTGTACTGTAACCTAGCCACATTGACACATAAAATTAACCTTCACAATTGGATTCTGATTTTTGGAAATATCGGGGCTTATAAACTAAACTGTATGCACGAAAGAGTCCATTCTATCAGTGCAGTTTAATGTTGTTTGGTGCTTTCAAGTCAGCTCTGACTCATGGTGATCCTGTGTACAACAGAGTGAAACACTGCCTGGTCGTGTGTCAGTCTCACAATCCTTGATATACCTGAGTCCATCATTGTAGCCAGGAGCTCTGGTAGCGTAGTGCCTAAGGCATTTGACTGCTAACCAGAAGGCTGGCAGTTCAAACCCACCAGCCACTCCTTGGAAGGAAGGTTGGGCAATCTACTTCCGTAGTGATAACACCTCAGAAACTCAAGGAGGGGTTGCTATGAGTTGAAATCGACTCGACGGTAGTGAGTTTGGTGTTTTTGGTGATCATTGTAGCCACTGTGTCAGTCCATCTTGCTGACAGTTTTACCCTTTTTGCTGACCCTCCACTTTGCTAAGCATAATATTCTTCTCCAAGGAATGGTCCTTCTGACAACATGACCAAAGTAGGTGAGATGAAGTCTGGCCATTCTTGCTGCCAAGGAGCATTCTGGCTGCACTGTGTTGGTCTCTTTTCCAGGATTTCCCTGTTAAATTTCTGACTAGTCTGCTTATACGTCCTAATCAGGACTACCACCTCCGTGGCAAGCCTCTTCATTTGCTCTGAGATTGCTGCCCTTCCTGACATTGTAGCTAGGTGTGGGTAGATAGCTTTCTGCTCCAAATCAGATGAGCGCCCTCTTTCAGTGAAAATTTTAGCTGCTGGTTTCATGGTCTACCCCTACCCTGACAAAAGTACCTTACTAACTAAGCTGCTTTTTGGGGGAAAGATAGGAAATGGGAGCAGACAGATTCTTACTCTTCTTACCTGAAGTTCAGGAATAAATGATTCTCAATTTGTTTTGATTTTCAGAGCCCTGGAATGTTTTTCATCTTTTTTTTTTTTTTTTTAACAGTTTGTCTTGCTTTATGGGAAAAGGGTTTGTCAGCTTTCTCACTTTCCAACACTAGAAGTTGAAAATCTATGTTAAATATAGACCTAGTTTATATTGCAATCAAAATATCTTTGAAGAATAGGCCAAAGTTTCTAAACAAATTAACCACCGCTAGGAGGGCACATAGCAACAACAACAACAAGAAGGAAAGTTTATGTGTGTTACTCACTTATCAAATTCCACTGGTCATAGTATACTTTAATTTCTAATATTGATGACTGTATGAGGGAACAGTGCTTCCCTGTGCTGTTGATGTAATGTTAATTATAACAGCCTATTTGGAGACCAGTTTGGCATTATTTATTACAGTGAAAATACAGGTATATCTGTTGATAGGATTGCAGTTTTATTGCTGAGTATCCAAGAGAAATATTCATATATGCAAAAACCATAGTCAGTGCTTTTGAGTCAATTCTGACTTATAGCAACCCTCGTTGGGTTTCCAAGGCTGTAAATCTTTACAGAAGCAAACTGCCTCAATTTCTGTGGAGTGGCTGGTAAGTTGAAATTTGGTTGCTGACCAGCCTTTTGGTCAGCAACCAAATGCCTTAACTACCATACCACCAGTGCTCCTTCATATATGCAAAAGAAGACATTATTTTACAGCATCAGAGGTAGGAATATCTGGGGGTCAATTTAGAATGTCAGTGGAGAGTTACTGATTCTGTATTTGGTATATGGTAATAAAACTATATATCCTTTCTTTCTTCTTTTACTTTCATGCTTTAGAAAAAAACTTTTTTTTGCTTTTCAGAAAAAACTAGAAAAGAAATGACAGCCAAAGGTTCTACAGGAATGGAAGTTCTGCTGTCAACATTGGAGGTAAATCATGAACAGGCTTTAATGATGTAACTAATAATACCAAACAGTACTGAAGAAAAAAAAAATGTAATATGTAAAATTTTTATCTTAGAGGTAAAGGCAGCTAATGAAAATTTGTTTTATGTTTTAAATTATCATTAGAGTGGTGATATGAATATTGTAATATGTTTTTATTGTAATATGTTTTAAGTGAATAAGTCTATTTCTCTGTGATTATAATGGTAAGCACAAATTTTAATCTTAACATGTTAATCTAATTGGTAATAGAAAATAAAACCCTAGTGGGAAATAAATCTTTAGTTTAAAACAAATAATTGAATTGAGAGTTATCATTTATTGTATTATGTTAGCTCTTACACATTTGTGATTTGTCCACAGATACTGGTTGAATAACTGTATTATGTTGATGATAATTATATTTCCATGCCAATGTAAAAGTTTTGGATGGGCTATCAGAATGCATTTTGAATTAGGATTATATATTTTACTCAGTGCAGTGTTAAGTACAGGGAATGAATTCATGTTCTTTGATAGAGGAAGTCTTAGCATCATGTGGTCATTTCTCCATACATTGATTTGTCACTTTAAAGTGATCTCAGTAAGAACATTAACACCTTTGTTTCTGAAGTCCAAATGGAAAAAAAAAAATAACCAACAATAAGAAGAAAATTTATAAAAAATAAGAGACTCGAGAAAGAAGTACCCCCTACTAAATATTATAAGCCCTGTTATAAAGCTTCAAGGGAGCTCTTGTGTAGTGCCTAAGGCATTTGACTGCTAACCAGAAGGCTGGGAGTTCAGACCTACAAGTCACTGCTCAGAAGGAAGATTGGGCAATCTGCTTCGATAGAGATACCACCTCGGAAACCCAAGGAGAGGTTGCTATGAGTTGAATCGACTTGACTGCAATGAGTTTGGTTTTTTTTGGTTTTATAAAGCTTCAATAGGTAAAATAGTTTAGAAATTATGCATAAGTAGACAGACATCAGTGTAACCGAAGAGAAAGTCCAAATGTAAATTAAAATTCTTGAGAGGAGTTAGTACTGTTTGATAGAGGTAGCATGTCAGATCAAACTCATTGCCATCGAGTTGGATCCTACTCAGAGCGCCCCTCCTCGGGTTTCTGAGGCCATATCACTATGGAAGTAGATTGCCCCAACCTTTGTTCTGAGGAGTGGCTAGTGGGTTTGAACCACCAGCCTTCCGGTTAGCAGTGAAATGCCTTAGGCACTGTGCCACCAGAGCTTCCTTAATAATTGAAGTTGGACAAATTGAGAGCTACCTTGCAAAGTATAAAATTGGATCTTTCTCACTTTCTATACCAAAATAAATTCCACATCAAGCAAAAATTTAAGCATGAAAATGAAATCATTAAAGTACAAGAGGAAGCAATGAGAGAAATTTTAAAATATTTAAAACATGGAAATCTTTTCCAGGGCTTCAAACTAGTTCATTCATGGCTGACAAAAGGAAATTGGGATGGACAGACCCAGATTCTCAAATTTTGGTGTTCTGGAACACTAACTGGAATGGGAAAAATTACAGTTTTAAAGCCCTGGAATGGAAGAGGCATAGTGAGCCCTTTCAGGAGTCTGATGTATAACACTGGATTATTGCTAGGACTGTGACATATTTGTGAGAGTGACACATTAAAGTAATGCTAAAAAACTATTGCATTGTAGGAAATTGCAGTCAGTGTCATGAGACAAAGTGTATGTGAGCTGCTGTGTGGAAAGTGAATTTGCTCTGTAAACTTTCACCCAAATCACACAAAAAAAAAAGAATGGAAAAAAAAAAGATGTGTTAAAAAAAAAAAAGTGGGCACTGTTGTTTTTGATTCAGCTGGTCAAGAAATTTGATTGCTATGAAATGTACAAGCTGCCCTTGTTTTCTAAGAGGGCGATTACATTTCTAGCAGGGCTTTGACCCGTAATTTTTTCCATTCCTTTGCACCCACATTTTAAAAGCTTGGGTCTTTTCCACTGTTGCTTCTTTGGCCATGAGTGAACTGGACTGAACCAATTTGAAGCCTTGGGATTTTCTAAATGTGAAAAATAGGAAAACAAAAACAAAAACAAAAACAAAACCAGTAGCTGTAAAAGAAAAGATTGGCAAATTCAAGCACATTAACAAAAATGGATTAAAAAAACACCACCATAAAAAAGTCAAAAGATACTTTGCAAACGGAGAAAGGAAGGTTTCAAATCCTATAGTCTCTTTAATATAAACAAAACTTTTATAAATCAGTAAGAAAAAAAATCAGTAACGCACTGGAAAAATGCATAAAGATTATGAACAGACATTTCCCAGAAACAGCAATACAAATGACACTTAAGGTTGAGCATCACTTTTATTAAGAGAAATATAACCGTAGTGTAGCATTGAAACATAGTCACGTATTAAATGAGCTGTCCAGGGTTTGGGAAATAAGTCTTCTAATTTTTGCTCATGCTTGGAGAGCAATTTGATTATCAAAATAAATGCTCATATTCTTTGATGCAGAAATTCTAGAAATTTATCCCACATATTATAGATATACTTGATTACATATGTGTGTGTGTGTGTGTGTGTGTGTATGTGTGTTGTTGTTATGTGCCGTTGAGTTGGACCTGACTCATAGCGACCCCTCCTGGGGTTTCCAAGGCAGTAACTCTATGGAAGTAGATTGCCCAACCTTCCTTCCGAGGAGTGGCTAGTGGGTTTGAACACCAGCCTTCTGATAAGCAGTCAAGTGCCTTGGGCACTACACTACCAGAGCTCCTATGTATGTGTGTGTGTGTGTGTGTGTATATATGGAGAGAGAATTATTTTTTTGTAATGTTTTTAATAGGAAAAGACTAAAACAACCTGAAAATCCATCAATAGGTGATTGATTATATAAATAGTAGAAAAGCCTTATAATGAAATATGTCATATAGTCCTTAAAATTAGTAAAGATATTTTTTTTTATTAATACGTGAAAATATCACAGTGATAGGGTGATAACTTTTGGAGAAAGAGATCTGCAAATAAACAAATATTTACATGCCTCATATATATGTTTGCATAGTATCTTTAGAATGTTGCAGTAGAAACTGATCAAGTGACTACTTTTAGAGAGGGGAGCTAGGTGACTGAATGCCTTATAATGTCTTTTAAACTTTGATTCATTTAGTTATATAATATATTTGATAGAAAGTTGATGAATTCAAATAATTTTTATAATAATGTTAATATTAAAATAATTGCTAAAAAAATCTGTACAAATTCTTAAGCGCAAGAAGAGACTAGAATAAGTGAGAATAGTGGAAATCTGAATACATTTGTTCTTAGAGAAATGTGAAAGATCATCTGTAAATTGTTGGTAGTACCCAACAGGTAGAAAAAGATTGGGAATCACAAATTTACAATGTTTTAATAAATGTATTTCAGAACACGAAAGATCTTCAGACTACACTAAATATCTTAAGCATTCTTGTTGAGCTGGTATCAGCTGGTAAGTTTTTGTTTTTTTTTGGTCCAGCTTCTGTTAGTAAACAGTGATCAACAGTATATCATGTACTTTATTGGGAATTTTCTGATACTCACATAGACGCTGTATGAGTATTGGGATTTAGAAACTGTCATTCTCTTTCATAGTTGCTGCGTTTGTGATGTCTTGAGTATCCCTCAAACTGCCCCTGTAATCTGTATTTTAGAGCAATGAACCTAGAATTTAGGCATCATGTATGTTTACTCTTCATGTGCCATTTTCTAACTAAAATAAATGAGATAAAATGAGTTTTGAGGGTATTTGATTTTAGCAGTCGTCACTTTGAAGGTTATCGAATGCTAACAAGCTGTGGTACTTAATGTGTTATGGGAGGCCTTGGCTGTTATTAAAAAAATTATTTTAAAAATTTTTAGGTGGAGGTCGAAGAGCTAGTTTTTTAGTCGCCAAAGGTGGTTCACAAATATTGTTACAGTTACTGATGAATGCAAGCAAAGAATCTCCCCCAAATGAAGAGTTAATGGTTCAGATTCATTCTGTTCTTGCAAAGATTGGGCCAAAAGGTAAGGGTTTCACTTGTATGATTATTGAATCTGGAACCATCTTTGTAAACCATCTGTCCTGAAACTACTAAGTGTTTTAAATCTAAGATGCTACTGCTTTTTCTTGATCTTGGTAAAGGAATGCTTTTTACAATCAACTTGTGACCTGTAAGAATTAAGTATCCAAAATTCATAATTTGCATGTGGTAGCAAAAGGAAGAAAAGTGTTTCAAAATCACAGATATGCCTGGATGCGTGTACATATGCTTGTATATGCTTGTGTGTGGATATTGTTGAGGCTAGAAAGAGGGAGAATGGTTTGAGGAACATGAAACTGAAATGTGCCACTGCTTTTCATTAATAGTTGTATTTGCTGCATAATTGTTTCTCAGTGTTCAGGAAATTTACAGTCTAGTTAAAAAGGGCAGAATAGACATGAAAAATTATTAGACTATAGTAGTAACACATGCACAAATTTTAAAAAAATGCAAATTGAGGAAACATAGAATAAAGAACAAAAAAAAAAGCTTAATTAGGTAGGTTAGTGGAGAAAGGTATCCTTTTGGTCCAACCTAAGTTCAGCTTATAATTCTGCCTGCACGAAGATTAAAATGATTTCCTAAAAAAAAGTTCATACCACTTCTTAGTGGAAATTTTGGTTACCCAAATTACATTTGGGTTTT